CGGGACATAGCAGCGGGCAGCAACCCTGTGGAGCACCAGGCAACACAGTAGAGGCAGCCCAACCGCTTATCACCAAAGACGACTGCAAGGAACGACAGGGCAAGTGGACGAGCAGCTTGGCAACCGTGCGGTGAAGCGCAAGGCAACATCAGCAAGGCAACCAGACTACAAAGCACGCAAGCAAGTAAAGGACGCGGAAGGCCAACAGGGCAAGCAGACGAGCAGCTCAGCAACCGTGCAGTGAAGCACAAGGCAACCAAACTACAAGGCATGCACGCAAAGGACACTGAAGGCCGACAGAGCACACGGACAAGCAGCTCAGCAACCGTGCAGCGAAGCGCGAGGCACCGCCACAAGGCACGCGAGCAAAAGACATGGGAGGCACGACCCGCGGGTAGGCGGCAAGGCAGCAGAGCAGCGAGGACGACCTGCCAAAAAAGCGGCACGGGCAGCAAGACCGCGGCAGAGCGCAGACAAGACAGTCTACACATCCAACACGGAGCAAAGCAGCACATGACCTACTCACGTCACGGTAGAACCCCGCAGACTGTTGGTTCCCACCACCCGCTGAGCCAGGGGGACACTCCGACGACCATCCGTCATCACCTACAGGCAACACAAACATCCCGAACCGAGCGGCCCCCATAAGAGTGCAGTAGGCACTCCAAACGAGGAACCACCGACTGTTTGGCACTACTTAAGGGTGCTCAGTTGGACACACACAACATACTTAGAAAACGTCAGGGGGAGGACAGACAACAGAAAAAAGGCCAACAGACATAAAGTGATTTTGTGTGTGTGTGTGTGTGTGTGTGTGTGTGTGTGTGTGTGTGTAATGAAGACGGTGAGTAGAGTATGTTGGGTCCCCGGTCGCCTGGGAAAACAGCCTAGCTAAATATGCCTTTCTCGGGCTTTTGGCTAAAGATTCTTCTGTGCAATGGTGCAATCACTTAGTGTTTACTCAATTCACACTCTGTACTCCCAGAATAAAAAGAGGGTAGTGTTGGTTAAAATTTGAAGCCAAAAAAAAAAGAAAAAAAAAAAAAAAAGTTGCTTGCATCTCTTGTCATGCTAGCCGGTGATAAGCAATTGGACCTCCCAGATTAGATGGGGCATGTCGTGTTCGGCCGGTGATAAGCAACTGGACCTCCCAGATTAGATGGGGCATTTCGTGTTTAAAAAAAAGGGAAAAAAAAGAAAACAAGTGTTACTGTAGTATAAAGTACAAGTAATGGCCCTGTGGAGGGCCCAGCCTGGCCAGACTTTGTAAATGCCAGATCCGGCCAGGACGACTTGTGGCGGCAAGGCCGGTACCGGTCAAGGAGTGGCCGCCCTAGAGAGTTGGGCCATGAAGGCAGGTGTGGACCTCGGCGTCCGTATTTCAGATCGCCTGCAGGTGAGAGAATGCGGACAATTGGGTAGGTGAAGCTGCTATGAGGTTCCGCATAGCTCAGCACAGACCCTTACGCACAGTGGTGGAGGAAGCACCCGTGATGGAAGCACCCAGGAGGAAGGAGGTGGCGCTGTGCGTGGTGGAGGAAGCACCTAGTGATGGAAGCTCCAGGAGGAAGGAGGCGGGGCCCCAGCTCGAAGGGAGAGAGAGAGAGAGAGAGAGAGAGAGAGAGAGAGAGAGAGAGGAGAGCACACGCTCACCTTTGGGACATGAATGTTTGCAAGTGATATGATGGACACCACAGAGAGAGAGAGAGAGAGAGAGAGAGAGAGAGAGAGAGAGAGAGAGCTCACCTTTTGGACATGAATGTTTGTAGGCGGTATGGTGGGCACAGAAGCACCTGATGCAAGAGAGAGAGAGAGAGAGAGAGAGAGAGAGAGAGAGAGAGAGAGAGAGAGAGAGAGAGAACTCACCTTTGGGACATGAATGTTTGTAGGCGGTATGATGGGCACAGAAGCACCTGACGCAAAAGAGAGAGAGAGAGAGAGAGAGAGAGAGAGAGAGAGAGAGAGAGAGAGAGAGAGAGAGAGAGAGAGAGAGNAGAGAGAGAGAGAGAGAGAGAGAGAGAGAGAGAGAGAGAGAGAGAGAGAGAGAGAGAGAGAGAGAGAGAGCGCACCTGATGCAAGAGAGAGAGAGAGAGAGAGAGAGAGAGAGAGAGAGAGAGAGAGAGAGAGAGAGAGAGAGAGAGAGAGAACACTCACCTTTGGGACATGAATGTTTGCAGGCGATATGATGGGCAGGGAAGCACCTGAGACAAGAGCTCTCGTACAATTGTCGGTGAGTACCTGGTGATGGAGTGACTTATGGTTGGTTGCTTTCACAAGAGGGAGGCTCATTAGCAGGTTTTTTCTTTTTCCTTCCTGATTAACTGTGTGCAATCGTTGGAATTTGGAATTTGGAATTTGAAATTTGAAATTAAGAAGAGAATATAATGAATCGTTGTACTATAATAGAATAGCCACAAATTTGGTATCAGGGGAATCTGCGAGGATTTGAACCCTCGGCAAACCTGCATAAGGCCCCCAATCCCCAACCGCGAAGAGGAGCCCTCCCTAAGTGAAGGCGGGCCCCCGAATTGGAATGAGGCTTGAACTCGTCAATTTCGCAAAGCCTTGGTCGGCGCCAGACAGTTACCATGCGCCAGTTGGTTACATCCGCCCTGCTCGTGAGAATGAGGAGTATCCGTGAGCCATTTAGGCTTTTCCAATGTCGAGAGCGGAAACAGCAGGGAGAACCTCATGTTTGTGCTGGGTGGTTGGGCATGCCTAACCAATTCGGTCCCAGGCCACTGTCTGAACGGGCCTGGGCGCAGACACTTCGGCCCAACCTGAAGCTACTGGGCACACGCGAGGCCCAGCCCAGGCAACGGTTGGGCCTGGCTGCTTTCCAGTTAGGAAAGAGCCAGGCAGCGAGGCAGGTATTCGGGCACTTGCATGTTTGCAGCGCTGCTGGATAGCGCAGTGAAGGTCGCGGACACACAGCACTCGTGCGTACACAGTTGCAGAGAGGTGGGCGCCTCATGAAGGCAGTGCCATAGCCCAGGCAAACATAGCCGGGCCTGGGGCTACGTAGCTGGCGGGGTATGGTGGTGGTCTTCGGGTCGTGAAGGAACGCGGGTGGTGAAGACGAGGGTGAGCATGCGAGGGCAAGAGAAGGGAGTTGATGTGAGGGCAGGTACCTATTCTTCGCGGAGGTCTACGTGCGAGAGATGGGAGTTGATGTGAGGGCAGGTACCTGGTCTTGCGGAGGTCTACATGGTTGACATCTGTGTGTACTTGGGTCGCTGCCGCTGATGTCAACTGGTTGTTTCGCCAATCGTAGGCTAGTAGAATAGCTGTGTGATTGTAGTCTGGGCGCTGAGCGCCAGGCAGGACGAAGAGCTTCAATTACATTGTTGGTGGTGGCGAGAGAGGGCTGCTTTGGTCCTCCTTTGGTGCAATATCAGTGCATTTCTGCTTTCTGGACGGACGGCTTTCGACTATCTGGCTTTCAATGTGATTTTGCGCTCTGGAGTCCCGTCTATTATTTCGTGATTGCTCACTTCCCTTGCAAATCTCAGTGAACGAAAATAAATTGGAGTCGCGAGCGTGAGGCATACCTTGACCGTTTTCGTCATCTCTTTCTGCTCCGTGGCACGTTTGTCTGATTTTGTCTGTGTGTGTATCTGAGTGCATGTGCAGGTCTGGGAACTTGCAGCTCGTCGGGTATCGTCCCTTCTGGCGTCCGATGCCATTTGCTCTGCTAGCCCTCATCACTTCTTACAAAGTCTAGAGTTGACGAACAAGGTGGGGTTTGCTCATGTGTGGTTGCTCACAATGGTCAGGGAAAAAAAAAAAAAAACGCATTTGAAATTGGACTGGATGCGGCGGATCTGCCAATGACTAATACTTGGAAGTACAAATTTTTGTGTTTGCACTGTTGCGGAGGTATTCACTGTTCAGTGTTTGGATAAAGAGATTATAATGCATGCATACTCTCGTCAAACCACCAGTCCCTTCGAGTGTCCTTTTCCGGATGCAGATTCTTGCCTTGTTCCATTTCCTGCTGAGCCGCCGCAGCAGTTGAACCAGCCTTTCCCGTCCGGTACGCCTGACCTTTGCGGCGGCGGGTTAAGCGGCAGGGTGCATTGAGGGGCGAAGGAAATAACCAGGAAAGGCACTGGTGGTTTAAGCATCCTTTTGTGATCATTATCATCATCACATGACCACTATCAGGGTTCAAACTCACGATCTGTGTACTAACAGTCACGTATGTGTGTACCATTCAGCCACATGGGCCAGCTGTCAATGCTGTCATCATCATCATCATCATCATCATCATCATCCTCATCCTCATCATCATCCTCATTATCCTCCTCCTCCTCCTCATCATCATCATCATTATGGTCATCATCATCATGGTTCTGAGTTCCAATGGTAGAAACAATGGTCTCCAAAACCATTGGTTAGGGGGTTGAATCCTTTTTCTCCTTGTCTTTTTCATCATGGTCATAACTGTCATAATCATTGACGTTATTGTGATCGTCATCACCATTGAAATCCTGGTGGTCATAATCATCACTGTCATCATTGGGCTGTGCTCAATTACACAACATTCTAAATGCATCTGGACTGCGGTGATCTAGAAAATACATTTGGAAATTCGGACTGATCTAACGACTTGAGTGTATCCGACCAAACACCAGATCCAAATACGTTTGGCAGGTTATGTACTGGGCGGAAGACCCATTTTTATACTCGTCATCGCCGTTTTCGTCATTTGATACTGTTATCATAATCGTCAGAATCTTTGATGCTTCGAATCGGTCCTCCTCTTCTCATTGCATTGTTGTCGTAATCATCATCGTGAATCGATGTCATACACATCGGCATTGTGGTTATTATCATAGGGTCATCTGTTGTCATAAGCATTGGCATTGTGGTTATTATCAATGGTTTCATGGTCGTGCGTCATGCTTCATATGGCCTCGCTCCACTACTCTCGATATGCACAAAAGACAAAAAATATGACAGTGCATCTTCCCATGTTCTAGTGGAAGATTCGTTCTCATTTTGCACATTTGGTGAGTAGTGGAGCGAGGCCCATAGTCATCGTAGTCTGTCTCATCGTCGTCACAATCACCATCGTGTGTTGTAATCAACTTGTTGGACTCTCCGGTCCTGCTTAGATACAGCGATGCGTAGTGGGCGTTCTATTTGGGTACGTGCTGCATTCTCCGGTCCTGCTAAGATACAGTGACGCAGAACGGGCGTTCTATTTGGGTGAAGACAGTAGGACGAGGTACGGCAGTCCTGCCGGACTTGCCTTAAAACTTAAAATTGAGATGATAAGCATGGCCTCTGTGCGGAAGAAAAAGCTTGAAAACGAACAAACAAGAAGGACCAGGTGCAGCAGCTCTGTACATCGAGGACTAGCATGGCATCTGCAAGCAGACTCGCTTTCTTTTCGACTTCACACTTATGCAAACAGATGGCAAGTCACACTGGCGCTTAGCGCCCACTCAAAGCTCAGAGATATGGAAGTCAGAAACACAGTTCAGATACATGCTCGCTTCAACAGTCTATGGCGCATCAGCGCCTGTACAACTCTCTGTTCGTCACTGTGCTCAACTCTGCTGTTCACACACACTCAACTCAGGCTACACACTGTATCACACACACGCGCACACTACACTCGCCTACCACCTACGGCGTCTATGGCCGCTCAACCCTGCTGGCTATGGCTACGCAACCTCTACTCTGCCCACTTCGTCTTCGGGCACTCTGCAGACCACCTCGCACAAGTCGCTCAAGCAGCGCTTCCGCATGGCTTACGCAGGAATGAATGAATGGCTGGGCGCTGCCTCTTGATTTATACTTCTGTAACTCGTTGGTCTCCCCGTTTCCCATGCCCTGGGTGCACACAGTCCCACACAGTACTTGCTTGACTGGACTGTGACTGACTGGGACCGGTACCACTGACTGCATGGGTTTGCACTGCCAACTCGACGCAGTCGCACTGCCGACGTAACGCAGTTGGGCTCACCACTTGCCCACTTGCCTCTGTCCAAACGTGAGACAACTTCGACAGGCCACTTCCGGACCTTCCGGAAGTCTGTGGGCTTGGCCTTTTGAACACTGTAGCAGCTACGACCTTGACCTTTCAGGACTGTAGCAGCTATGACCTTCACCCTTCAGAAGAGCTGCAGTTACGACTTCTCGAACTCACTAAGACCTCTACCCCACAGGTCTACAGATCGAACCCCTACAACTTACGGACCTACGACAGCCTACCAACTGTTGTGAATACACAGGTCACGGGTTCAACTCTCGGGGTCGACACAGATACTGTACACAGGTAAGGTAAGAACTGGGGATCGAACCCTGGGTTCGATCCCTAGTTCATTCGGTACATCCACAAACTGTTGATATGCAAATCTGAGTTCGAATCCAGAAGGAACTACATGAACGAAATTCCTGAATTACCAAAAGGGGGGTGGGGGGCTGTGGGGGGGGTTCAGTTTCACGGTGATATCTCAAGGCGATCACCCTTTCTAAAAGAAAAACATGAAAAAGAAGGACCAGGTGCAGAAGTTACACCTGGCACTAAAGACTAGCATGGGCCCACACCTTACTCTGATGGGAAAGGTTCCATCGTGCTTATGTTTCTGCTTGGAAAACATGCACCTGGTTGAAATCCTTTCACCCATCTTGCACTTCTGACGTGTCCTTCTGGCGTGAACGTATGACCTGTGGCGCCTGGCGATAGGGTGGCATCGGATACACCCACGGGTCCAGGGAACGTTGCCTGAACCTTTCACCCATCTTGCACAGATGAAGGTCCTTCCAGTCAGTTTATCAGACCTCGGTCACCTCGCTACATTCGTTTTTTTTTGTTTTTTTGTTTTTTTTTTCCTTTGTTCTCTTTTTCTCTTTTTTTCCTTTTTTTGGAATGAAGGACACTGGACTTCGAGTATCATCATTGATGATTGATCTGCCTGGCGAGGTAACTCAGAGATGGCGTCTTCATCAGATATTTCAGGTCTCGAACCTCTGGGTCTGTTTTTATCAACAATTCTTCATGGGCGTGCCATTCCATTCATCCACGTAGGCTGGATACCTCACCACCATGCCATTCTATATGTTGAATAAATAATCTCTCTCTCTCTCTCTCTCTCTCTCTCTCTCTCTCTCTCTCTCTCTCTCTCTCTCTCTCCCCCCACAAATATGCATGCACACGCACACATCAGAGTGCTCATTTGCGGATAACTGGCAGTTTATTTTGGCAGGGGAAGCATTCAGTGGTGCAGAAGCAGTCCAATTGAGGGCACGGCTTGCAAAACAGAGCGAACGATATTTCAGGACCTTTCATCGGCAGAACCTTGAGGTCAGTAGCAATTTTCTTTCCTTGTTCTTTGATGAAGTACTGAACCTCGTGGGGTTTTTCGTTCAGCCCTGACCATTGTGAGGTTCTGATTCCAATTCATACTCGTTTCCTTCACAGTACTGAAAGGAAAACCGTCCTGAATATGATGCATGCTTCTCATGGGGAGTTCCCAGCAAAAATGATCTGTCCAGCCACTCGGGCCCACGACTGCTTGCGGTGCAACAAGAACTTATGGCAGGTGGCACAAAATTTACTGTGCTTAAGGGCATATACACACTGCCAATGCAACACCACGTCGCGCACAGGAGATGCGGGGTGCATGTGTGTGGGGAGACACACACACACACACACACACACACACACACACACACACACACACACACACACACACACACATGCACACGCACACGCACACACACACATGCACACGCACACACACACACACACGCAGAGAGAGAGAGAGAGAGAGAGAGAGAGACAGAGAGAGAAGAGAGGGTGGGACACCTGCTTCCAGCGGCATTGTGTCGATTTGCTCCTTGAAATCCTGACAGTGTAGATGTGATGCAGTCACTCCCATCTCTTGTCTTTGTGGCTATCTCATGTCCCTGTTTGATGATTAGATCTCAGAATGCGCTCCTCCCTGCTGGCGGACACCTTCACGTCCGACATTGTGAGCGTGACGGAGCAATCAGCACATGTGAGGTGTATGATAAAATCATCCAGAAGATTGTTTGACGCTTCGTGGGAGATCTGGTGATCTGATAGTCTGCTTCTCGTGCAATCTGATCTACCACCTGATCATTCTGGAAGTCCGGTCCGCCACTTTTGGTTTTGTACACGAAGTCGCGAACTGACTCCATGTCCATCAGGATTCGAACTCGTGATCTGTTCACTAACAGTTTACATGTGTGTACTATGCAGACCGCGTTCTGTTGTAATGTGATCCGTCGTTATCTGATTCTCCTAGAGTATGATCTGCTACTTTGATTTATAGCATCCTTCTGAGCGCACATCCATGTCAATCATGTCAGGATTCGAACTCATGATCTGTTCATTAACAGTTACATGTGTATTCCACTCAGTCAGATTGTTGTCGAGGCTGTTTTAACTCCAAGTAATATTTTGAACAGTTACATGTGTATTCCACTCAGTCAGATTGTTGTCGAGGCTGTTTTAACTCCAAGTAATATTTTGTTAGTAACTCTTTTCCACGCGACAACACACTCATTGTACACATATCAGGATTTGAACTCATAACCTGTTCGTTAACAGTTCGTGTGCTGTGTGCACGACGTTTGTGTTATCATGTTTCGTTTCAATCTTCGGATGTAGCTGTGCTACGGAAAGAAGAAGAAGAAGAAGAAGAAGAAGAAGAAGCATCTCTATCCATGCGGTGGTGAGAGAAATAAAAAGGAGGAGGAGGAGCACATCTTCATGTCTTCGCTCACCACCATCTGGAGAAGAAGAAGAAGAAGCATCTCTATCCATGTGGTGGTGAGAGAAATAAGAAGAAAAAGAAGAAGGAGGAGCACCTCTTCATTTCTGTGCTCACCATCGTTTGGATTGTTTGATCAGGGACTTGTCCAGTTCAGACCTTGTCTCACACAATTGTACAAGGGACGCTGGACCCGTTTATCAGCAGGTGCAGCTCCCCGCCAATAGACAGAGCAACCAGGCCACCGACAAGGAGAGGCTGCTCGTATTACTAGGAGGCCTGGTTTGTTTTTTGTTTTTTGTTTTTGTTTCAACTTTTGAAGGGAAAAAAGAGAAAGATCGGTTGGCTTTTTTGTTGTCCTGCAATCTGATCTATTATCTGATTTGGCTGGCAGGTCCTTCGGATGATGTTAGATAAAGAGTTGTGGCAAGGGCTTCCGAGCAGCGCGTTGAAGACGGTCAATCTTGCGGCGTTGACGGGTAACGGTGTTTCCGCTTCATCCCCTTCATCCATGGGCCAGGCTGATCGAAGTAGTGGTGAACTCGCTGCATCGAACAATGCAGATCAAGCGCAGAGAGACGGGGCGCTTTCAACGTCTCGCCACAGAGAGGATGCCAGTAGGGCGGCGGCGCTAGACGGCGGGGAAGCGACAACTTCAGGGCGGGGTAGTTTCGCTGACTGGGTCGCGGGAGGTAATCCTTTTGTGGACAAGAGGGCTTCCGCACCAAGTCCTAGCCCCAGCAGTCCAGTGGGAGCAGACGGAGGCAAGAGCTCCTCCGCGGGCTCGCCAACAGGCCAGCCGGGCTCTGCGGGCGAAGAGACGGAGACCAGTGGGAGCCCCAGAGAGATTTCTATTGGTCAGGCCAATGGGAATGTGGCGTCGTCTAACGGTCAGGATGCATCCCGACTGACGAGCATGAACGGTGAGGGTGACGAGGAGGAGGAAGAGAATGAGGAGCTGATGGCAGACTTCATCGATGAAGAGAGTCAAAAGCCAAAGTTGCGGCGAATGTCGCGAGGTCGGGGAGGAGAACAACGGGGAAATTTCTCAGAAGGTGAACGCGGACCGATGTTGACAGCGTCGGCAATTAGTGTGCTGAGGTATTTCTCCCACCTGCATCACTGGACTCTCTCAACCCCTTCAGCAAAAACAAGGCTAGATTGGGGTTAAAGGCTGCTCCAGTACTCCTAAAAGCTTAGTCTCAAAAAGTCTTAACCCCCAGTACTCAGCCTAGCCAGTATGTTGCAATGATCCCGTATACGAGCCACGGGGGGCTTGGGAGACTAAATCGAAAATGTGGCTGGGGCCAGCCTTTTCGCTTCGGTTTTGCTCCAGTGCTGGTTCAACGAAACTCGGCTTGAAGGCATCAGGAAAAAAATCTCGTGATGTATTCACTGATGCAGTCAGCTCCTTTTTTTTTGTTTTTTTTGACAGGCTCGCATACCCGCCGACCACGTACCCTGATCGCCAACAGTTCTGCAGCCCACCGGTAGGGCTGACCGGTCGGTGGTCTGCCAACCCAGTCACTAAACAGCCATCCACTGATTCTCTTAATAATCTGACGATGGGCCTGTACTGCACTTGCTGAGTACTACGGGGGAGTATAAGGGGTATTGGGCAGGGATATGAGGGAGTTGGGGGGCAGTTTAGGCGTGTTGGGGGGTTGTATGGGGGTCATGGA